TTGTACAACAACGTTTTTTTTAGTTTAGTGACCCCATTTGCCCACTCTTATGGGGAATTTCCTATACTAGCATTTTTAAAGGCTTGACTGATCCTTTGAAAACCATCACGCATGGCTTCCATCTCTCTATTCAATTTATCATTTTCAATCTTCAGATGATACACTTGAGCTTCATATTTTAGAAAACATTCTTCCACCTAGATGTCCCCATTGATACCTTTACCTTTAAACACTTTTGGCCCCACCTTAACAGGATAATCAACTACCAAACTAGGTCGACCTTTCATCTCAAACTCTAATATTCCATTATCAAATGGTGTTGAACTCGATGCTTAAAGGTGGTCCAATTCTCAATGGAATGTCCTTGAGCTCCAACATGATATTCACAACGAACATTGACGTCATACCAACTTGGATATGGAGTTTTCCAAGGTTTCACATAATGTGGGGCCATCTTTTGAGCTTTTAAAAGCTTATCATACAACTCTTTATATGGTATAGGGATATAATCAAAATGAGAGCCACCTTCCAGCTTGGATTGAACTGGAGTCTTCAGGTTTATTCCCCCTAACGTTGGAAGTAGACCCTCAAACACCAACGAGTTCTAATTGCATTGCTTCTTTTCAACTTTATGAACTTCTACAGTTGTCACCATTTCCTTAGTGTCTTCAAATAACTTGTTGATACGAATGATGATTGTGCATGATTTTTCAAATTGACTAGGATCAACTTGCTCTAAAGTAACCCCTTTGTATTTGACATCACATGATTATTTTCATCGAGCTCTTTCTTTTCTTTTTCAGAAGTCTCTTTTCCTTTGGCCAAAGCAGTTATTCTATCCATCATCTTGGACATTTGCTCTTTCATGTCTCTCTTATCTCATTTTGTTCTTCGTCGGACATACGATCTTTCGGTGCATAGCTCTTCACTATTCTCGGAGCTTCCTCAAGATGCCACTCCCTAGCTGTGTTATAGTCTACTTGATCATGAAATCCTTTGTCTATCATGAAAACCTTTTACTTTGATGACCACTCACAAATCAACACATATGAAAAATGTTATGATCATGTGATGCAAGCCGAAAGGAAAGCGACATAAAAACAAGTTAGTACAAATAAAATAAAAAAGTGACAAGAATTATTATAAAAGCAATAATAACAAAATAAATAAATTATTGAGCTAATGCAAAATAAGAATGCAAATGCATATGCACAAGATGTTAATTCCAAAAGTGACCACCATAGAACATTCTTCATCAGACCATGATTTCCTTACACTAGACAGACGAACTTTATTTTCTTCATTTACTGCGATTGTTGGATCTCTATACCTCCATTTTCGTGAGATTCTCCAAGAGGAAAATGACCTTGACATCTCGTGAAGGATCTTATCATTCTTGACTCAACTAGAATATGATTATTTGGTACCATCTCAATCTTCATTCATTTAATAGGAGTCGTTGAATCGACTTGGAACTCTTCTTTCATCAATCAACTTTGTTTGCAAGTAGTCGCCCTTATGGATTTGACTACCTAGTTATGAAACTCTTATGTCAATGTGAAAACCTTCTAATTTGGTCAATCACTTGTGAATTAACACCTTGTTTGGTTATGATGTGAAAATGCAAATGCAAACAAAAGACAGAGAGAAATAAGATAAAACAAAAGAAATTATTAGTTCCATTCAACCAAAAAAGTAGAAAAATATTTACGAAAAGAAAAGTTCCTACCTAACATGGAATCTACCTTGACATGCTTTTGTAACAGTTCTACCCAGACATGTTTTCTACTCTCATGCTTTGTTCAACGTATAAATCCTAACCTCATTTTTCTAATTCACAGGCTTCGTACAGAAATATAAAACCTAATCACGCACTCTTCTAGTTCTCATGCTTTTTGCAAAATACGTAAATAAATAGATAGATAGATCTAAGGAAAGATTATAATGAGTTTCCTCTTTTTGACTTTTAAAGAACCACGAACAAAATTTTGGTACAAAATAAGCAGAATTTTCGTACTACTAAAATGGTCCTCGAATTGTCCTTTGCTAGTGCCCCTTGGGCCTGTCATACCTTCGATCCTCACCCATTATAGGCTTAAACGAATCAAGTTCAATTTGAGAGGATGCATTTCCCTATGTCTATGTGAGGAAACTCAATGTTTCACTCGTAAACGCAAGGTATATGTACCCTAGAGGTTACTTGCTAAAGCCCATGCAGAGAAAAATAATTTTTCTCATGTAAGCGTTGCGTTCATCCCTACCTAACAGGACAAAGCACAGTTAGAAGGCTCTAACTATTCAAATGGTTATAGCGTGTGTGAGGGGGAACTCACAATCCTTTTCCTCGATCCAAAAACAAAAAAACTTATAAATGTCAGAAATCTGAAACGATGGAAATCACACATTAGCATAAATAATAAATAATAGTAAAAATGATGTATGACATGATGTGATGCGAACAAAATATAAATATCATTCAAATTTACCATTTTTAAATAAAAAAATGACGTATAATCGATTACAGCCTGACTCTCTAATGTCCCCAGCAAACTCGCCAAGTTGTCGGAACGATTCTTAAGCTTTTTAGGGCTATAGCGGGGAGCGATCCAACTTAAATTTGGAAAAGATTGGTTTCTTTAAATAAATACATAAATAAAAAAATTTGGAGTCGACATCAACCTTTGAATTTGGTAGGTCGAATACCTAAAAAATATATTTTAAAAGATAAAAAGTGATTTGTGTTTAACCAGAAACTCATTTTGAAAAGGGTTCGAGAGTCGATTACGCGTGGGGAAGGATTAGCACCCCCACAGCGCCCAAAATCAATTATACGTCATCTAAATATTGAAATTAACAAATTTGAATATACACTTAAATTAAGATCCCTTTTTATATATATATAAATTAAAAGGGGTATTATCTTGTACTAATAATTCTCGAAAATATCTTACTTGTCAGTTAAGGGGCATTTCAATGGATTCTCCATACAAGATAGTATTGCCCTAATTTTTAATGAATTGCATACATTAAATAAAATATTAAGAAAACATTTAAATGTAAAAAATACATGTATTGTTTTGTACGAATAATTCTTGGAAACGAACACCTTGTTAGTTAAAGTACGCTTCCATAAATTCTCCGTACAACATGTTATCACAATACAACATGCATTTACAGTAAAGAGAAGTCAACGAGGACTTAAACAAAATACCATGAATGCAGGAAACTTAAATGCAAGTAATAGGAAATTAATCGAATATGTGAATGAATACCGGAGTGAAAAGATAGTAACTTTGAGGATTAAATTGTAAAACCAACAAAAATCATGGCCATAAACAAAAATACCACGCAAACTAGATATTGGAATCGTAATAAAACCAACATTAGCATTAAGGACTAAAATGGAAGTTATTAAAATAATGTACTCAAATTAAAACAAGCATAAAAATAAAATAGCAAGTAGAAAGGGTAAAACAGAATACGAGTAACATAAAATGCTCGAAGTGAAAAGAAGTGCAACTGCATTTAGTGACTAAATCGGAAGGCTACAAATCTAGAAGGACCCGGAAAGGGGTTTGCTCATGCACCCAAAACACAAAAATCCCCTCTCCAAAACGACGTCGTCGAAGTCATGGTATATATACCCAACAAACGACCGAAAATGGCCAAAACCCCTCATTTGTTTCACTTTCAATCTCTCTTTAGAAGGAGAAAAAAATTCTACCTTCTCTCTTTCTTTCCTCGCCGAGGGGAGACCGAAAGCCTCTGGCTACCGCTTGCTGGAGGATTCCACCGCCGCCCACGGCGGCCAAAGTTCAACTAACCTACCCCAAAACAACCCTCAACCTTCCCTAAACCCAAAAATAAACCCCTTTCGACCTAAAAACACCTCCACTGTCCTAGATCTACAAAAAACCGAATGGGTTACCTTCAAAAAATCAACAATGCCTTCTTTCTCCGGTGGTTGGAAGCTCGGCTCCGAGTAAGTCTCTCTTTCTTCTCTTTCTTCTTTCAAAAAGTCCCAATTTTTCGTGTTGTTGTGTTGTTCGAAAATCCCCCTCTTTAGTTGTTGTCTTTCTATATATTACCCAAAAAATCGAGTTTTTTCTCTTTTCTACCTTTTTCTTTTCGGTGTTACATATTTGTGATAAGGGTTTGACCCTTTGATTTTTTATTCTTTTTGTGCTAGGGGCGCTGATCGAGGACGATGGTTCAGCGGGGACAACACTCTGTCCCGAACGGCAATGATGCAAGTAAAGGACGGGGTAAATGTTTTACCTCGAGGCCTTTCAGTCATTCTCTGTGGTGACTGTCGGATTTCTCGGCAGTGATTGCAGTCCTCGGGAGTCACAAAATCACGGGTGAACACTTTGATTGGGCGCGTGGTGGCAATCAACACGTGGAGACGGAAGCACATTAGGGTAAAACCCTAGCTTGGGTTAATCTAGATCGTTGGATCAGATCTGATCCAACGGCTAATGTGGCTTGACAACACAAAGGGAAAAGGGTAAAACCCTAATTTACATTGAGTGTTGAGCATGGGCTTGCCTTGAGCCTACTGATTGGGTTGTAATGTTGGGCCTATGATTGGACCCGATTTTGGGCCTGTAACCAAAACCTGTAATAATAAATAAATACTAATAGTAATAATAATAATAATAATAATATTAAATGATAACCGGACAAAACGGATATCTACAAAATTCTAATATAAGATTAGCAGAATAATCCCAGACGGAACCGATGAACAAATTAATTGCATGCTCCACTGCTAAGATCTCATCCAACAACAAGGACCCACTTCCAAAAACGTTTAAATTATAACCAAATAGTACCATAATATTAATTTACAATAAAATTTAAACAAAAACTCAAACAACTCGATTTATCTCGAATTCTAAAAACTCTACCCGACTCAAAATTTTGAGTTATAAAATAAAACTCATTAACTCGAATAACCCAAAAAATTTTAACTCGACTAGATTAGGCTCGATCAAACTTTCACCCCTATTATATGCATGGAATTCAGTTCTAGTTGAACATTCCTGAACCTTGAAACTTAGAATGGCTCAGTGAAAATGTCAAAACTTACCCATAAAAAATAACAAAATTCACATTCCCTTCAAGGGTCAATTATAAATTTTTACCCCATCATCTCATAGCTCAAATGCCAAACTTATCAATGGGCTGCCATTTCTTAAGTCTTCAATCCCCCCTCCCCCACAAAAAAACAATATTTTCCGACTTCCACTAGTATGTAGGACACGCAGTAAAAAAAGAATATAGTGAATTTACATGCATCGTGTATCATATATCAACAAATCATGTTGTATGAGCGCTGTGCGTTCTCGAAGCCCATATACCGAACACAAGAAACCAGAACACAAACAAGATTGCCCAATAGCGAGCGGGTCCGGACTTGATCCTTGTCAGCACAATCTGCAATTACCAGCCATTTTATACAAAACATCATCTCAACTAAAATGATTACAAATGAACATTGGAAGGATAAAGTTAATGCATCCAATAATCTCAAGCAAATGGACCATGTGACTAAATCCAATATATTGCAGAGATTGAGCAAAGTTAATTCAATTTTCCAATATAGCTGCTTCCGAAAATAACAAATTGGTTTACAATAACCTCAAAGGATGAAAAAAGTTTACCAAACAATAGATATGGAACTACACAAGCATAAAAATGGCATGCACATTCCGACAATACAGCAAAAGTGTAGTAAAGTTTATCAAAATAATTGTTAGTTTGTGAAGGAACAGAAACATAAACACGTCATGTATCAACTTCCTAATATATTCCACTTTTTCTCAAATCAAATGCACATAAGTTCAGAAAGCAAAAAACTAGAGATATGTCATGCAAGTTACTTACAAATCGAAATAAGACCACAACCGTTAAAGCACATATGCCTCCCAAGAGAATGTGAAGACCACTCCTAGCCGTTTTCTACAAAACAAAGAGTGGCACATAAACGTTATAATACCTGATGATCAAATGCGTTATAAGCAATAAAAAAAAACTGGAAATACCTAATATATACATAAAGACACACACACACATATATTTAACTAGATAACGTCTTGTATTCACAAGATACTCGAATTCGACTGGAAAAAATTCAAATTCGATTCAGCCATTGTCAAGCTGAGTTCAAGTATCATACTAGCCAAATCGAGTAGTTCACAAGCCTAATCAAACTTTTTGTTCATAATGTATTAAATATTTGAAAATTAAATTATGATTTACCCTTAATATATATACACACCTAAACCCCAAACCTAATTTTTTTTCCTACATTTTTTCCATACTGCTCTCCTTCCTCAATCCTAGGTTTTTCTTCATCCTCTCAAAATCAGTCTTATTTAAGCCATGCCTCTTCTTCTCTGCTTCCTCAATCCTCACCCAAGGCTTGCATTTTCATCGTCGATTTGCCACTTACCATACTGACATGATTTTCAAGTTTGTTTCTAAACTTTAATAGTCACTCACCATTTTGAAGAATTGGACAAAAGAGGTTTTTTTAATAGTCACCCTTAATAGTTCACCATTTTTAAATTGGTTTTGGTTAATCCAAATAACAAATTTTACAATACTTGATAATACCATTCCATTTTGTGAAAATAGCATGTTTGATTCTTCAAATTTCAATTTTTTGGTTTGGATTAAAAGAAACATTGCACGAAGCTGGATTTATTTTAAAATTTCATCATTTAAAAAATGTATACAAAACAAGCTTGATTTAGAGCTTGTGTATGGGAATTAGAAGGCAAGCTTAATTGAGCTCGAGTAGCTCGATTGTATCTATAGCGAGCTTGAACATAGAAACGTATGTTCGATTGAGATCAAGCCAAGTACCGAGCCCTAAGTCTTGAGTCGAGCTCAAGTAGCTCAATCATATCTCAAGCCAAGCTAGAACTTCGAAAAAAGATGTTCGATCGAGTTCGAGCTGAATATTGAACCCTGAATTTTAGTCAAGCTCAAGCTTGCCACTAGTCTTCCTTCGCTCAATTACACCTCCTAGACAAGAACACGTGATGTAAGAGCTATTACAATTATGTTATTTTATTATTAAAGTCTTATTAATTATTAGCCACGTGGATATATAGCTACTATTATAAGTTTTCTCTAGGCTTTAAATCTAGGACTACAATTAAAACTTTATTTGTAACCCTAGTATACAAGACTTTAGAAATTTTAGGCTTTTATGACACTTTGTTTTCCTTGATAAAGAAAGGATGATTAAAATATAACTGTTTTCCTCATTCAAAATTTTGGTTACCAAGAAAACACATGGATCTCTACATACAACCAGGATGATCCCAGAAATTCCTCTCATAAACTCAAAAAACTCACGAGTCGCAACACTTTTATACTTCAGTCAAGTTGAAAATAGTAACAGACCTCTGCTAAGCAACACTCAAAAGTATTCAAAGTATGGCTCCTTTTACAGAATAATTGTTCATCAATATTTTATTGGGGGATAAAGGATATATCAACTTTTCCTTGAACCACTAGGAGATAGAGGATCATAGATCAACATTCCTTTGAGCCATGATTAACAGGCCAAATTCATACCTAGTCCATATGGCTTTTACTTGAAAATGAGATAAAGAACCAATGAATAACACAATTAATATTTCCAGATTACAGCCGTACTAACAAATGAGCCATCTGAATATGTTTAGGTACCACCGATCAGTTGCCACTTGTATGAATTAGTGTGGGCCTGGACTGACATCAACATTCTCTTGGTCTAAATTACACAAATAAATTGCACTGGGCCTAATTATAAGAAATTCTTAAACTTAACAAGAAATAGAATTTTCTACGAAACCTGATTAGATGCAAATTACTTTTAAAGATATATAGATGCTTAATGATGTATATCAAACCCAGCACTCTAATTGTGGCAAATATTATTCTCACTAGAACAAGGGGATAATACAGAAATCATAAAAACGCAACATATGACATATAGTGTGAAAGAAAGATTCAACATGCATACATGTATGGTGAATGTTCATAAAGAACTCAGTATGGGATGAGATTGATGAAGTATTTAATAGTGATCTTTCCTCTCTTAACTTTTTTCTTTCTAATAAGGGCATTTTCCATCAATTAATTAGTATAATCATCTCTTCTCACATTATTTAGGAATTGGAAAAATATGAGTTTCTGTAAATTTTCATGCACAAGCATATGGTTAAAAGTTACCAATTAAGCAAGCTGATTTTCATATATTGAATTTCTTTATTGGCAGAAAAAACAAAATGGAGTAGGTTCTTAGCTTGTTAGATGAGCATTTATCAGAAAATACCTTTCCAACACGAGGAGCAATGAGCCATGCAAGCGTAACTGTAAGTAGACCAGTAGCAAGCAGAATTCCAGTACCTTCCACAGCCCACTTGGTTGCAGGATTTTCAGTGGGAGCTACTTCTTCAGTAACAGTATTTGGAGGCTGTTCAAAAACAACCTGTGAAACAGCAGAACTATTGTTGTTGTTATTATTACCATGCGGGCTGAACCACAAGAAAATCTCACTTAGTCGTTGCCTTCGAATAGCAGCAACAGCATCAGGGTCTACGCCTGAACTTGTATGAATTTGGGCAGGATTAGGATCTCCACTAGCAGTCCTCTCTCTCAATGCTTCATAATCTTTCAAAGAAACCACAACTTTATTAAAATCAGAAGTCCTGATATGTTTTGCAGGATTTCCACAGATCTCACAAACTGTAGATCCATGACTAACAAACCATTTGAGAGCACAAGCATAATGCACTAGAGCAAGATCATTTTTACAAGAACAACCTAGTTCTATCAATGCATCTTGCTGATGACATGATCCCATTTCTAAATCAGTGCTACATATGAAAACCTCTCCTCCAGGGCTTATGAACTCAACAAACCCAGATTCTCTCCTAAGACTCTTACCATGAGACTCATCACTTTCAACATCTTTCTGAACTCCTTCAATATTAGGCTTAGCTTCACCTTTGCTTTTAACTGCTTCTTCTAAGGGAGGAGAGATCCCCAAAAATGCCAAAGCAGCATCCCCTCTTTTGTCAGATTCTGAACACTGGCACACACGACAAGTGGGCAAACCTGCATCTCTGTCTAGACTATATCGTGAGTAAGTTCTTGAATAATCAATGTCAGCGTTTGAGCAACTATCATTGTTGAGACCTCCATTAACTGCTTGAGGCAGGTTTTCTTTACTCATCGTGAATCCAATAAAATTAAATAAGATCAGTTCAACCAAAGCAGAATATTATTTCTCAGCTCAGATGCATGATCTTAATCTTCCAAAGAGCCAATCACCCCATTGCAAATTTCCAAAGCATTGAAATGAAGCAACACTATCTCTATACAAAATGGACAGTTCACATCCACTTCCACTCCATCGAAAAATGGTGTTTTATTGCTTCTGCACGATCCAGGGCACTAATGCAAGATAAAAACAAGGAACAATTGCTGCAAGCAGGAAAATAGATAAAATTACCTAGAAATCAATATTCCGGTTCAGAAATAGCAAAACATCCTACCTTGTTTAATAAATATAAATTGATTATGAGAAGAATTGTAACTAAGAATAGCAGGTAGTAAATTTATTACATTCTTCACCATATAAAAGGATTTAGAAACAATCAATAAAATAACATAAAATTTAAAAATAAAATAACACGAGATTTCCACAATTTGAATAAACACTCGAATAGTCAAATATTAATTGTGAAGAAGAACCTGAAGTAGGTAATAAGAAAGAAGAAAACACATATGAATAATTAAAGGCATAGGAAAGGAACATTAATAATTAAAAAAGTCGGAAGTCAAATAGAGTCAAAACTCAAAGCGGCAATTCAAGAAAACAATATGCAGGTATGAGGAAGATGAAAAAGAATCAAGGGCAAAGCAACATAATCATAAACTTAACACGCAACTCAAAGTCTGTAGAGAAAACTGGTTAAGCTATAAAAAATGATGGAAAAAGAACAAACAAACAGGGAAACCAACGAAAACCCAGAAATCCCAGATCGATAAACTAAAGAAAACAAAACCCAACCTTTGGAAATTGGTATGGATCGGTGAAATTGTCTTGGTGTTTTACAGTCACTTTGCTTCTTCCAGAGAGTCGGCTCCTCGGAGGGTTTCCACTGCCTCCCTCTCCGTTTTACTTTCCTTTGGTATTTTTTTGCCTTATAAGTTACGTCCGTTTGTTTCGAAGAACTCAACTTTTTTTATATTAAAAAAATGGAAATTTTCGAAAATGCCTTTTTCGAAGAAGATTGAAATTGGTGGAAAATGGGAAATGTTTAGGTTGGAATAATTTAATGAAAATTGATATCCATAAAATCTAGGAATTAACCTTGTCGGTTGAAGACAACCATTTCAAAGGAATGGTCTGAATTTAAGGACGCCTGTGTTTGAAACTCCTCAGCAGTACCCGATTACCCGGTTGATTTTGTTTTTATTAATTATTAATATTTAATCTATTATTAATTAATTTAATTTAATTTTATAAAGGTCTATATAATATTGTCCTTCAACGTTACTTTATTTACAATCATGAACATCTAATATTACTTAAAGAATTTAATATCTCATCTTACTAAATTAATTAATTGTTAATCAATATTTTTTTTCTAATTCCAATTAAATGATCAAAGTAAAGGCAGACATTTTTTATATAGCTAAATGAATTACCTTTGATTGTCAAATATTCACCTGTATAATTATTGTAGACACTCGTTTTTGTTTAGGTCTACAAAAACATTTTACTATATTATATATTTATTTATTATTATTATTATTATTATTATTATTATTATATTTTTATTTTATTATTTTACAGGCCTCGCACTTAACAACCTCGATTTAGTGAGATTTAGAAAATAAACCAATGTATTTGAGTCCTATTGAAACACTAAAACCGAAGCATTTTGAGTCCAAGTAGAACTCTAAATCTGAGCTAAAAATATGTTTCTTTAGACTATAAATAGACTCATGCATCAAGAGGAAAACACAGAGAAAAACGTGGAACCAAAATCAGAGGAATAGGCAACGATTTAGAAAAACTAAGGGAAGAAAATGACAAAAAATAAGCGAGGAGAATCCAAAGCCAATATCTAAAAGCATGAGGAGTGGCATAACATTTTCATTGCAAATCCAGTTTCTCTACACGCAAAACATGGGAGATATAACAACTTTTGACTTATTCTTTTTATTTCATTTTTTATTTATTTACTTTATATATTTTTTTCATTTTCTCCTAATTTTAATATTTTTATTTCTTTTTACATTGTTTTATATATTTATTTATTTATTTTTCATTTTTTATTAATATTATTAATATTATTATATTAATATTTTTTATTATTCTTTTCTCATGTTTATTTTCATTTTTACAATCCAACACTTTTGACTTTTTAGGGATACTTTCAATCGATCAAAGATAATTAATTCGAATTGAATTTTTAAATTTCAATTTAAATTTTGATTTTCGCAACTAAAGACAACCGACAAATTAATTGGTACCGAAAGGGCGGTTCAAGGGTGCTAATCCTTCCTTGACTGTAACCGACTCCCGAATCTGATATGTTTATGGTAAAACGCAGATCATGTAAGATGGTGTCCGATCAGCCTAAATATTTTTTAAAATGATCGGTGGCGACTCCCAATCCAATTAATCCAAGTCGAAGCCCAATTCCGGGGCCCAACTGAAAGACGGTCGCGACAGCTTGATGACTCTACTGGGGACAGGTAAGTGAGTCAGGCCGAAATTAATTTTCGGTTGTCTTTTTAATGAAAATTACAAGTTTAAATTTTAATTTATTTATTTGATTCTTATTATTTATCTTTGATTATTTTTTTCAAATAAATAGTTGTGCTAACGTTTTTTAATGATTTCAGGTATTTTTTTCAAAATTTTTATCTCTAGCTCTATACCCGAGCTCCGAACCCTTTTAAGTGGGGGTGAAAGCTACACCTTCGTGGGAATTTATTCTCCGTATGGGCCTAGCAAGTAACCTTCGGGATTCATATACCTTATATTTTCGTGTGAATTTATTCTCCGTATGGGCATAAGGAAATGTATCCTCTCGAGTTTAACTTAGTCCACATAAGCTTGTGATGGGCTTAGGACTAAGGGTCTGACAAGCCCAAGGAGGCACCATCAAGGAGAACTTGAGTACCTTTTTTAGAACCTAAACCAAGAGAGTATAAGGAATTAGAGCCTACCCCAAAACCTCATTCCTAACTCTAGGCTGTTTTGTTTCCTACCTTACTTTCTATTCAAAGCATACGAACTAGACAAATATGCAGTTAGGATTTGTTTGAAATTAGCATGCGGGATAGAGATCATGTCCGGGTAGGAATTAAAGCATGTGGGGTAAACATCATGTGGGGTAGGACTTTTATTTTTCATGATTATTTTTTATTATTTTCACCTCACTAACTCTTTTCATTTTTATTTTATTTTCTTTTATTTTCATCACTTGCATCATTTAAAAGAGGTGTTGATCCACTAAAAATGTGTTTGTTAAACATGAATAATCTGCATTAATGAACAAAGGGGTTGTAATACAAGAGATGAAAATACAGAGGATAGTCTACAAGGCGACTATGTGTCGCAATCACTCCAGAAGACGTGGTGCCCACAATTGAAGAGTGTATCACTCTGTTGTATTATAAAGGACTCAGAATGAACCGGGTCTATATCAAGCACAATGAAAGTCTATCTTTGAAGAATTGATTGATAGAGGTTGCAGGGGCAAGATGAAGGTTACTGATATTAGGAGTCCCTTCAAAGACGACAATAGCAAAACGATAGCTAAAATTGGAGACCATTGCTGACGAATTTAAGAAACAGATAAATGAAATTCATATAGTTCCTATTAATTGAGGGCTCCAATGACGTATTCGTTGGGAACAGATTCAACAAAAGATAAATGCAGAGATGCAGATATTCGAGACTTCTTGGGCCAATACAAAAAGCAACTCAACATTTGCACGGTTCATCTAGAGAAGCCAGAGCGGTTCGACAGGTTATTCAACCGGTGACAGACGAAAGCAGAAGACTAGTCAACATGTCAGAAGCTGTCAGGATATTTTTGTCTCTTAAAAGATAAAACACTTTTGTCCCCAATAAGGATTATTTATAATAACAGACACATTTTTAGATCAATGCCTCGAACATTGCATGCATCATGTATTCCTGCATATTTCGTATTATTTTTCTCTTTTTCATTACATTCACATGTCTCATCAAAAAAATGAGAACATTTCTATCCTATGACATATAAGGAGCTTTACCAACAGTTGTTTGACGCACATGTGGTGTCACTATATCCAGAGAAATCCATGAAGCCCCCGTACCACAGGTAGTATGATGAGAACGCTCATTGCGAATATCATAGCGGTGTCCCAGGGCGCACTATCGAGAACTACTCCACATTCAAGAGAATCGTACAAAAAATACAAACCAAGAATTAGATCGACTTCAACAACTCGGGGGCATCCAAGTGAGGCAGATCATTTCATCATTTGAGACATTCTGTTTGAGTTTGTTTTTTCATTTTTTCTCAAGTTTTTGTAAGAACATTTGAATAAATTTATGTTACTTTAATGATGACGAGCAATGAATCACATTTGCAAACTTGCAATTCTTTGAATATCAACTGAATTAAGAAGCTCTGTAAAAGGTTCAAAGTTATGAATCCCTGACAAAGTAACATGATTTAAAATAAGGACTTTGACCTTACCTAGAATATACACTCAAACATCGTATCCTGCACTTGCAATTAACCAATATAACCTTTTCCTTTTATAAGGTGCGGATAACATGAGGCATCCTTTTGCATATGACATTAGTATATTTTTTATTTAAGACATTCAATGATGATCATTATCTTTACAGATGGAATAGTCGAGTAGGTAAATCTAGTTTAGGTCAGTTGCTTAGAAATTGAACTCTAAAAGTGAGATTCCTTTACTTTCAACAACACCTAGACTATAATAGGTTCTTCTTGACAAACTTAAGAAATTAAATCCGTAAAGCTGAGTTATTCCACTAAGGCAATTGGTTACAGAGGAAACTTGAAAGCCCTAGCCTTATGAGTAGATTACGTTTAAACCATGACATTGCTCGAGCACTTGGCAATTCGGTGTTTTCTCCACTGATATTGTCCGGCCGAAGACTTTGTGATGAGATGAACCCTTCAGTTAACTTGATTATAATGTTAAGTTGTCCCTCTAAAGCAATTGGTTAAACACCTCAGCTTTATGGATTCAACTATCCAAATAACGGCAAATTAAATCAAATTTATCTAAGTAAGCAATTTTCGGTAATGATGGACTAAGGGAGTTAAGGAACACCTGTTATAATCAACTTCACACGAGCACTCAGGAATTTCATTTTTAGACCGATATTTTTGTACTACCTCTGTTAGAGGAGCTTACGAGGCTTGAACAAATGGAAGATTTCAGAGGACCGAAATAAAAGGTCTAGTAATTGATCATGCTAGTTGCGTCATTTTTTCTGCACCCAATTAAAATGCCAAACCAAAAAAAAGCACATTGCAATAAAAAAAATGACCTTTTTATGGATGAAACCTTAGGTCAACCAAAAGCCAACTCATCCATTTGAACATTTGAACATTTGTCAAAGAGCTGTAACTCTGAAAGCATTAAAAGAGCTATTGATTTCTTTGATATACTTTGAACTCATGTTTATAATTTGATTCAATTGCGAACAATATTTTACAGATTTTTTATCATTTTCCCTCCTAAAACAAGAAAAATGAGAAAAATATTTTCAAACAGGATAGTCTCAAATATCAAAGGTCTGTAAAGCCAAAGCTTAAAATGGGGCATGGTCGATTCCAATGACAAGACCAGCAGACAAAAATAAGGCTCCATCCAAGAGATAAAACATAATTAATTCATGTTGCATGCATCTTAGACACACTTAAGAGCATCACATTTATCATTTTTAGCACACATATTTTTTTATAGCTTTTAAAGTCAAATCTCAACTTCAAGATGAAAGATGATCGATTCAAAAAGTTCATTTGGAAATTGATGGTGGTTGCTCAACTTCACAGCGAAGGGGCGACTGACGGTCAACAAACAGCTTTTCAGTTTTATTCAGAGTCAATTTCAACTTCACAACGAAGGATATTGGAATCAAGACAACACAAGCTCAACTTCACAGCGAAGGGGCGACTGACTGTCAACA